TTCGGGCATCTCGCTTTCAGTGGCCTGAATCTTCTATGGAAGGAGAAAATGGTAAAAGGATTGCCGCAAATCAACCATCCGAACCAGCTATGTGAAGGCTGTATGAAGGGCAAACAACATAGAAGAAGTTTCGAAGTTGGAAAGTCAAGAAGAGCAACAGAGTTGCTACAATTGGTCCACACAGATATTGCAGGACCATTTGAAGTCATCTCTCTTGGAGGAAACAGGTATTTTCTCACATTTATTGATGATTATAGCAGAAAAACTTGGGTTTATTTCCTGAAGGAGAAATCCGAAGCTCTGGAGAAATTCAAAGAATTCAAGGAGATGGTAGAAAAGCAAAGTGGGTACCACATCAAAGTGCTCCGATCAGATCGAGGTGGAGAATACACTTCGAAGGCATTCAACAATTTCAACAAGCAGTACGGGATAATTCATCAACTCACTGCCGCCTACACACCACAGCAGAATGGCATAGCAGAGCGGAAGAATCGTACCATTCTTGATATGGTCAGAAGCATGTTGAAGAGCAAGTACCTGCCAAAGACTTACTGGGCTGAAGCCGTGGACTGTGCAGTTTACCTCCTCAACAGATGTCCGACAAAGAGCGTCAAGTTCAAGACACCATTGGAGATGTGGAGCAACATCAAGCCAAGTGTCAACCACCTGAAGGTGTTTGGGTGTATTGCATATGCACACATCCCGGAGCAGAAAAGAAAGAAGTTGGACGATCGAGGAGAAAAGTGCATATTCGTTGGGTACGAGAGGAGGACAAAAGCATACAAGCTCTACAATCCAGTTACAAAGAAGATGATCATTTCAAGAGACGTGGAGTTCGATGAAGAAGATTATTGGAAATGGACCGATGAAGATAAAAATATTAAAGGTATGTTCTTTGAAGATAATGATGATGACTTGCAGGAGGTTGGAAGACCAGAACAAAGTCCACCTAATAGTCCAGCTCCATCAACCCCAACATCAACGCCGACATCATCCAGCTCAAGTGAAGGAAGCTCTTCAGGGGGAGCAACAAGGAGGATGAGAAGCCTAAGAGATCTGTACGACGATACAGAGCCTGTCGAGATGATGGATGACTACACACTATTCTGCTTGTTTGCAGAATGTGATCCGGTCAGCTATGAAGAAGCTGCTCAAGAAGATAAGTGGAGAAAAGCCATGGATGACGAGATCGAGGCAATCAAGAGAAATGACACATGGGAGCTCACTACCTTACCTGAAGGCCATAAACCAATCGGAGTAAAGTGGGTGTACAAGACAAAGACAAATCAAGATGGCGGAATCGAGAAGTACAAGGCCAGGCTTGTTGCAAAAGGCTATAGTCAGCGAGAAGGAGTTGACTATGAAGAAGTGTTCGCACCAGTCGCGAGGATCGACACCATCCGACTCATTATCGCATTGGCAGCACAGAACCGGTGGAAGATCTACCAGATGGACGTGAAGTCTGCATTCCTGAACGGCTACTTAGAAGAAGAAGTCTACATCAAGCAACCACCAGGGTACGAGGTGAAGAATCAAGAAGACAAAGTCTACAAGCTGAAGAAGGCATTGTATGGACTGAAGCAAGCGCCCAGAGCATGGAATGCCAGAATCGATGCATACTTCCAGAAGAACGGATTCCATCGGAGCCCGTATGAGCACTCTCTCTATACCAAGAAGAAGGATGAAGACATCATGATCGTATGTCTCTACGTGGACGACATGATCTTCACCGGCAACAATCCGAAAATGTTCGAGGAGTTCAAAAAGAATATGATCAAGGAGTTCGAGATGACTGACATTGGAGAAATGTCATACTTTCTTGGAGTAGAAGTGTCGCAATCAGAGAAAGGAATCTTCATCTCTCAGAAGAAGTATGCAAAGGATATCCTTCAGAAGTTCAACATGAGCAACTGCAATCCAGTCGCAACTCCTGCAGAAGTCGGAGTGAAGCTGAGGCGAGACACACCAGGAAGCTATATTGATCCAACTCTATACAAGAGTTTAGTCGGGAGCTTGCGCTACCTAACCATCACCAGGCCCGACATAGTGTTCGCGGTAGGACTGGTGAGCAGATATATGGAGGAGCCAAGACAGGAGCATTTCAAAGCAGCCAAGAGAATTCTCAGGTATGTCCGAGGAAGTATTGATCAAGGATTATTTTATACACAGTGTGCAGATTCAAGATTAGTCGGCTACACCGACAGCGATTATGGTGGAGATTTAGATGAAAGAAAGAGCACATCTGGCTACATGTTCAATATCGGATCAGCAACATTCTCATGGTCATCAAAGAAGCAGTCTGTCGTCGCTCTATCAAGTTGCGAAGCAGAATACATAGCAGCATCGACATGTGCGTGTCAAGCAATATGGCTCAGGAGTCTGATGAAGGAATTGCAACACCAACAAGAAGCACCGACAGAGATTCTCATCGACAACAAGTCAGCTATTGCACTTGCCAAAAATCCGGTAGCACATGGACGAAGCAAACACATAGAGACAAGATATCATTTCATCCGACATCAAGTTAAAAAGAAGACTGTGATGCTGTCATATTGCAAGTCTGAAGACCAAATCGCTGACATCTTCACCAAGCCACTAAAGACAGAGACATTTTTGAAGCTTAAGAAGAAGCTTGGACTTGAGAGAAATGAAAGTTGGTGATGAGGGGGAGTATTAGAATTCCTCACCAACTTAGATTATTCTAGAACAACTTTCTAGAACTTCTTTCTAGTAACATCCTACAAAATATCTACCATGAAGTTTCTAGGAAGATACAAGTGTATGGCTAGTATTTATTCTTCTAGAAACTTCTTAGTAATGTATGGCTAGGATTAACTCTTCTACACACTTCCTAGCCCTCTTAAACAACTATAAATAGGGGTCTTGTGCTCTCATTTGGGCAAGCAAGCAAGCAAGCAAGCAAGAAGTAAGCTTGAAAGCTTGAGTGTGTAGTGTAGCCTTGTGTGAGTGTCCACCAAAATAAAGGAATTGTGTGAAAGTGAGGTGTTCTTGTAAGAACAAGTGTTGTATTCTCAAGTGTTCTATCAATAAAAGTTTCCTTTGTGTAGAGTGTTGTGTTCTTCAAATTCCATCAAAATATATACATATATGCATTTACTGATGCTTGCACTTTTCTGAATTTAATTTTTCTTCTGATCTTCTGGATCTAAAATGCACACTATATATATAACCCCAACATCCGTGGTCATGATGTATGCGAGCAGTTTTAATTTGTTTTGAAGATATTATTAGAGTTTATAAACGTTGGTAAATTGTTTGGGATATACATATATATATATATATATATATATATATTGTTTATTTATAATCTTGTTCCTTTTTAGTTGGTCCTAAATCTTGGTCGACCTGGACATTTCCTCATTTTTAGATCGATGAAAGTAGATTAATGATTATATATGTGATTTGGAGAGAGCAAAAAAGAAAAAGCAAAGCGATCGGTAAAGTCGGGGTAAACTTGTAATATGTCTTTTATATCTAATTTTTAATAAATTGTTTAAAGGCTACCAGTTTGAGTGAAGAAATAAGGAAAATCGATCAAGACGAGGGATTTTGACTGGTAGCTAGATTAAAAGCATTTAGCAGAAAATTAATTAATTAATTAATTATTAAAAAAAAAAGAACACGTACGATCCCCACTGCATCTCTATCCCCATGCCATCGTCTGACGGGCGCGCACGATAGTCGTCTCTGTTATATGAACTAAAGTTGGGAGCTAACGTCCAAAAGAATGAAGATTTGGGTATGGCTTGTAATTCTTACTAAGCTCTGGGGCATTTATTCAACACATTTGTCCGGTTATAATTAAATTGATTGTCCACGCAGTACCCTCAATTGGTTTATTTTTCAGATTTCGTTTGCATGATTTTAATGGTGCGGCTACTGCTATTCAGTACCGCAATAATGTGGCTGATTGTCTTGGATATTTCTTCCCTGCAGTTTCCTTTTCTTAGTTAATTAGCCTAAAAGTTTTGGCACATTTCATGTGTACAAGTAGTTACAATTAATATATATCAGAGATGTAATAGGACGTTACGTTCGTCGGAGCCAAAAGCAAACAAAAATCTTTGCTTGCGTATCTTTTTATAGCCTTGGTCCTTTTGGAAATATATTTATTCATGACCTACAAGTTGAGCGTCATACTGATAACGGGCGAAGTAATTCTCATAAAAAATAATATATCGAGCCATGCTGTTCTTTTAGATTAGGGTTATTTGCATATATACCCCCTACATCATAGGTATTTGCAAACATACCCTTTAAATCTTAGTATTTACAAAACTACTCCTTAATCTTCAATTTTAGGGGGAAAAAATATCCTCAAAGAAATTAATCATTAACTTTGATGAACTAATTTATAATCGCGCTGTAAAAGTTACAACAAAATAGTTAAATTTTTAGAATCAAGTTGATTTGTTGATTTTAGAAGTATTTTTTCACAAAGGTGATCGATGATTTGAGGGGTAGTTTTAGAAATATTAAGATTTGGGAGGTATTTTTTGCAAATACCCATGATTTAAGGGGTATATATGTCTTTATGGTTCTCTTATTTGGGGAAAAAAGAATTGACCATCTAGCTCGCATATTGTAAAGCTTTCCTGTCTCGTTTCGTAAACTAAACTCGCTATTAAATTTGCATGAGGTTTGTTGGTCAGACAGGGATCGTAGAAGCGATCTCCTTCTTAGCAAATAATCCTTTTAACTAACTTGAGGAACAGTCTAATTTTTAATTTCTATCTCCATATTAAAATAGTGCTTTAGTTAATTTTGCCTCTTATTCACCTCCTAAACTTTTTAATAGTACAGCTCGGATCGAGGAAGTGAAGTGAAACGAGTAAACACTTTTGTCACTAATCAAATCGTTGAATTTCAATTTCAAAAAGAGAAGAGATGACCAAGAAAAGAAAGTCAACGCAAAAAAAATATTTTCTAATGGAGGATTCTAATGAGGCAAAAATAAGGGAGAGGATTTTCCTCGATCTCTATGGTCTTAGAGCAGCTCCAACCGGGCTGCATTTCTCCAAAATGCAGCCCGGTTGAGCTCCAACCGGACTCCATTTTTTGGAGTCCGGCTGCAAAACATTGAACCCGACTGCATATTTGGAGTTTTTGCTCCAAATATGCAGCCCCCCTCCAATTCACTATTCCCCCTACAAAATAACTATAATACCCTTCTAACTAACTAATCACTAGTAGAAAAATGAGCATTGGCGACGGGGAAATCCGTCGCCAATGCAGCAAAATCCGTCACCAATACACTTTCGCGACGGGCGGAGTCCGTCACCAATAATCCTGTCGCCAATAAACATTGGCGACGGGGAAATCCGTCGCCAATGTTCATTGGCGACGGATAGGTATTGGCGACGGAAAACATTGGCGACGAGAATACATCTGTCGCCAATGTACATTGGCGACGAGTTGTAACCCGTCGCCAATGTACATTGGCGACGGGAATACATCCGTCGCCAATGCACATTGGCGACGGGAATACATCTGTCACCAATGTACATTGGCGACGGGCTCATACCCGTCGCCAATGTACACATATTTTCAGCATTCGGAATTGATTGTGGAGTTGAAATGACAACATCTTCTTGCTCGTCGCGTTCATCTTCGACAATCATATTGTGCATTATAATACAAGCAGTCATGATATCATGCAGAGTTCGTTTATCCCAAAAACGGGCTGGCCCCTTGATGATAGCAAATCGTGATTGGAGAACACCGAATGCCCGCTCAACATCTTTTCGACATGCTTCTTGCATCATTACAAAATATTGTTTCTTTTTATCATCGGAATTAGAAATGGTTTGAACAAGTGTTGGCCATTTCGTATACATGCCATCAGCCAAATAATAACTGACATCATAATTTTTTCCTTGAATTGTGTAATGAGCAGGAGGAGCAATACCTTGTGATAGATTGTCGAACAAATTAGACGACTGCAATACATTAATATCGTTATTGGATCCTGGTAAGCCAAAGTATGCATGCCATATCCATAGATCATATGATGCTACTGCCTCAAGAATAATGGTTGGACCTCCATGACGACCTGAGTATTGTCCTGCCCATGCTGTTGGACAATTTTTCCATTGCCAATGCATACAGTCTAGACTTCCTAACATTCCTGGAAAACCTCTTTCTTCGCCCTTTTGCAATAACCTTGCAACATCGTCGACATTGGGAGTCCTCAGATATTCATCTCCATATACTTCTACAATTGCTCTGCAAAATCTCTTTAAACACACAATTGCAGTTGACTCACCGATCCTAACATATTCGTCAGTACTATCTGCTGATGTTCCATACGCCAACATGCGAAATGCCGATGTAACTTTTTGTAAAGTTGATAGCCCAAGTTTGCCGACACCATCCATCTTCTGTACAAAGAAGTTGTCATGATCACGTACCGCCTCAACTATACGAAGGAATAAACTCCTGTGCATCCGGAACCTTCTACGGAATAGGTTTGCACCATATGTAGGGTTATCAGAAAAATAGTCATGGTAAAGTCGAGAATTACCTTCTTCCCTCCCGCGATTGATCACCAAATGACCAGGAACTGAGCCAATACGCTTTGGCCGCTCTGCCTCTTGAGAGAGATAAGTCATTATTTTACTATTAGAGGCATGTACGCGAGCTAAGAGTTCATCTTCCTTCTCCCATTGTGTCATATCTTCCTCCCAATCTTTAATGTACTGAGACCATATTTCGTCGTCAGAAGAAGAAGAAGAAGAAGAAGAAGATGGTAGTTGTGACGGTCCGGCTCCATAGTTCATTGATGAAGAAGTTATTTATAGAAATAATCATATAAGTTCTGAGTTATTTAGAGATGGATGTAATGTCATTATATAATATGACTCCCCGCATTGGATTCTTTTCAGCATTGGCTTCTCACCCCCACATTGGATTCCTTTTGTGTTGGAGACTCCCCACATCGGATTCTTTTCAGCATTGGCTTCTCACCCCCACATTGGATTCCTTTTGTGTTGGAGACTCCCCACATCGGATTCTTTTCAGCATTGGCTTCTCACCCCCACATTGGATTCCTTTTGTGTTGGAGACTCCCCACATCGGATTCTTTTCAGCATTGGCTTCTCACCCCCACATTGGATTCCTTTTGTGTTGGAGACTCCCTCGATAATGAGAGTCATCCAATTAAATGGAGGAACTCTCTTATCAAGCTCATAGATCCTCTTCCAATCAGTAGATAAATTTGTGAAATATCTTTTCTTTAGATCACTCTTCCAACCCCGAATAAGCTTGGCCATTTTCGGGATAACATAATCCCAAGACTCTGGGTTGTCTTCAAGACAATAATGATCCTGCAAGTTACATGGCAAAAAAATTACACTATAAGAATAATCATTGTGAATTGTAAACAAAATAAGCAGCAGTATATTAAATAATTACCATGAGCTTCTCCCAAATCTTTTTTATGCATTTAAATTCTTGCTCCTCAAAATTATGAGCAATATTAATGGAGCGTGGATCTCTTATTAAACAGCCAATCAAGTTATTAAATCTGACAGCCCAATCCCCAACAGGAATGTTGTCCTTCCACTCCAAAATGCCCCGGTACCCTTTCGGAGGTACTTTCGTCTTTTCCTCACTCCCATGCCTACCGGGTTTCTCATAATCTTTTTGGCCTACAAAGTCAAAGAGAAATAAATTTCTTATACACTTAAGTAAGCAAATAAGTATGAATTATCCAAAGTTTAAACGAAATTATTACATTTTTCCCTCATTAGATCTGACATAGCTTTATCTAGTCTCTGTTTTATGGCACGCTCCTTTCTTTTAATATCATCTCTCTTCAATTTGTAGTTCATATCACATTTTTTTTTGTAATTCAATAGCTTTTTCTGGTAGAGGGATGCGAGATACTGACGGAGTCCATGGGCGGAGACATGCCATCTCTGACTGAGAAGATACAGACATCCTCTCGTGCTCGATCTCATCATCACCAGATCCATCGCAAGCATTGTCTGCAAATATTTATTAGGAATATAAAATATCATTACATTACATTAAAATATATTACAAATGTATAATACCTATACTTGGTAATGCGTCTTGATGTTGCGGTGTACCCATTTGAGATGTCCCCGCAATATCTAACAAATTATAAAATAAGAAATGAGCATATAAATTTATCAATTAAGGTAATTACATGCACAGAAAGTTCAAACTGAATAAAGCAAGCAAATTTTATACCTTCAATTGGTGAGGATCCATGTAGAGATAACTGACTCTGAGATGGTCGTGAGGACGATCCTAAATAAATAAACAAAATAGTAAATATAATGCATATTTATATCAAATATACAACTTACTTAAAACAAAAATTGAATATGCATACCGGATGATGGACCTTCTCGATCCCGAGGAAAAGATAGCCTCCTAACTCTTTGGCTCATCTGCAACTTAAATTGTTAATCTAACATAATTGAAATATTTAATAAATGCATACAAGATATCAAGTCGAATTTGCATAAGGATCTTTGTATTCAATCTCCTACATTACAGATATCAAGTCGAATTTGTGAAGTATACATATTAAAATTGACATTATGAGGGTATGAGTAATTAAGAAAAATTTCTCCTTCGGCCTCATTTGGGTCATCAGTATCATCCGAGTTTTCATCAAGAGCAAGCTGAACAAGAGTCCTCGGCTCCTTATACAATACGACCCAGACATTCGGGTGCTTAGGATCTTTGACGTAAAAGCACTGAGTAGCCTGATTTGCAAACATAAACTTCATATCGGGATATATCTCCTTATCTAGATTTACAAGATGAAAACCATATGCATCCCTAATACTGTCTGCATGACACCAACGAACCTTAAACATCACATAACTACGTACATTTTTGGTACCGTACGCATAGAATATCTCCACAATATCTTCTAATTGTCCGTAATAAATTACATCACCAAGTACCGGATTTTGATCAGTTGAGCTTGAATAACATTCTTGAGAAAATACAGCCATGACCCCACTATTTTGAGTAACTCTCTCCTCCTCAAGCCCAATCCGTTGAAATAAACACCCATTTACACGATATCCGCTGCATTGTTTAACTGTGTAGTGCGGTCCATGTGAGTGAATACTTATCTCTTCTGACACTGGCAAACCAGCACATTTTTGTCTTTCTACCTAATGTTGCACATAAACACAAATTAGCGTTAAATAGTTAGCCTTATTTATTCCCAAAAAGAATGTAAAATAAAATACACTTTAACTTACTTCAGCTATGACCCACTCGGTAAAATGTTTTTTTATGAATTTTAGCAATTTGATTTCGTGCGGACATACCAGTAATTTCTAAATGTAACTCCTCCAAATGTCGTCTGTTGATACAAAAAATTAGAGTTCAATTATTGATATAATTCAAAAAAATTCATATTTGTTAAAGTTAATTTCTTACTTGCGATAATCTTCAAAGATTTCCAGGTTCTGCAATAAGAAGGCATGAGCCTGATTCAAGTCAATTCTGGAATAGTCTTTGTTCATCTTGGTACTTCCATGAAAGGTGCCATCTCTATTACTATTTATCTCCTTATTTTTTGTATGTACACCATGTATATATCGAGAGGTGAACATCATACATTCATTTGCCACGTAATGATCAGCAATCGATCCTTCAGGATGAGCCCGATTTTGCATTATGCGTTTCAAGAAACCCAAATATCTAAAGATAATATTAATAAGAGTTGTTAATATAAAGCAGTTACATGTATTGTAAATAGACTTAACTGAATTTTGACTAACCTCTCCATGGGATACATCCAACGATAGTTAACTGGTCCTCCGAGTAATGCCTCATCTACAAGATGATGTGTGAGATGGACCATGACCGTAAAAAATGATGGAGGGAAGAATATCTCCATTTTGCAGAGGGTTTCATTCATTTCTCCTTTTAGTGCCTTAAATTCATCAATATTGATAACTTTTGAGCATAACTTTTTAAAAAATCCACAGAATTCGATTATAACTTTTGCTACTTCTTCATCGGCCATGTTGTTACGAAGTGCTACCGGAAGCAATTGGTGAAGAAGGATATGATAATCATGAGTCTTAAGTCCTAAAAGTTTTCGCTCTTTCACTTGGATATTATTTGAAATATTAGAGCAGTAACCATCTGGTGACTTCACTGACTTAAGCACCTCACAGAATCTCTGCATCTCAACTTTTGACATTGTAATACGAGCTGAAGGCAAATCAAATTTTCCATTGGCTACTTCTTGTGCTTGCAGATCATGTCGGATGTTCAACGCATTCAAGTCTTGTCGAGCCCTTAAATCGTCCTTTGATTTCTTACCATCTTGAAGGAGTGTGGATAATAAGTTATCACATATATTCTTTTCAATATGCATTACATCTAAATTGTGTCGGAGTTTGAGCTTGTGCCAGTAAGGCAACTGAAAGAATATACTAAATTTTGTCCATCCTGTCGGCAAACACATTTTTCGACTGTGTTGTAAATAAAAGCCTTCGAAGTTCGGACCACATACAGGACAAGCGAATTTCCCTTTCGTAGACCAACTAGAGAGATTACCATAAGCTGGAAAATCATTAATCGTCCACATAAGAATAGCACAGAGATTAAAAGACTCACAAGAAAATGCATCATATGTTGGGACCCCTTCATCCCAGAGACGTTTTAACTCATCAATTAACGGCTCCATGAACACATCTATGTCATTACCGGGTGAATGTTTGCCTGGTATCAATAATGAAAGAATCATATATGATTGCTTCATACAAAGTCCAGGTGATAAATTATAGGGCATTAACACAACTGGCCAAGTAGACCATCCCGAACTCATAATGCCAAACGGGTTGAATCCGTCACTAGATAGCCCAAGTCTGACATTCCTGCACTCTGTGGCAAATGAGGGAAAAGTCTGATCCACATGCTTCCATGCCTTTGCATCTGCTGGATGTCTCACTTTACCATCATCTACACGTCTTTCCTTATGCCACCGCATATCTTTTGCTATATTTTTTGTCATATACAGACGTTGTAACCGAGGCACTAAGGGAAAATGTCGAAGCACCTTCGCTGGAATTTTCTTCTGCTGATTCACTGACTCATCTGACTTTCGTGTTGAAGTGCGTGCATTCTTTCTCCATCGAGACACTCCACACTTTGGACATTCCTCAAGTTTCTTATTATCCTTATAATAAAGGACACAATCATTGGGAGAAGTATCGATCTTATTGTAATCTAAACCCAGAGCACCAACAATCTTATTTGCATCATAACACTTTTCTGGTATACTATTATCTCCGTCTGGAATTACCTTGCGTAGTAAATTAAGAAGCATTTAAAAATATTTATCTGCCATTCCGCTCAGGGTCTTAATACGCATCAGTTCAAGAATAAATGACAACCTACTATACTCAGTGCAACCATCGTACAAATCCTTCTCGTTGTCTTCCAATATCTTCACTAAATTTCTGTAGGCCCCGCTATCACGCACGTCCTCGGTATTTTGGACATCATCTGCATCTCCAGGAACTTCAACAACATCTGGTACTTCTGTAACTTCATCAACTTCTGCAACTGTCGTAACATCGTTGAACATTGCGTGCGTATCGTCTATATTTCTATCATCTAATTCAATATCTTCACCTTCTCCGTCTATATTTCTATCATCTAATTCAATATCTTCACCTTCTCCGTGAAAACTCCAATATTTATAATTTTCATCAAATCCCCATCTTTCTAGGTGTCTTCGTATAGCAACTCTATCCACCAGACCTCTATTCCTACACTTACTGCATGGACAACACAACAAATCGTTCTCTATCTTCCTCGGATTAGCATATGCATATTTAAGGAATGCTTCCCATTCGTCTCGATATCGAGTATCACCTTTTGCTCTTCTTTTCAATATAGGAATATCAATCCATGACTTATCAGGAAATTCTCTCATCTGTATAATAGGAAAACTTATTAATTAATTTAATATCTCTTAAATCGTCATAAGTTTAAAAGTCTTTATTTTAGTTGATTGAACAAATAATCAAACGAATTAAATTACTCTTCGATAATGGCCATTGTTGTACCAAATAAAAGCTAACACTCTATGATAAGTAATCCTAATTTAAACCAATACTCTCGGCTGTCATAGGAAGGCTTCTATCCCATTAAGAATATAGTAGTGCTTACATCTAACTTTGAATACTATGTGTATTTTCATTTCTAGAAAATTTCGGCAGCACCTACCCGTTGTTCTCCAAGTACACTGTGCGGATGTTATTATGTGTATCGGTAATGGACCGAAATCGGTAAGTAATAGTCCGATACACATAAGAACATACGCTTATTGTACCCAGAGAACAACAAGTACGTACGACCGAAATTTTCTAGAAACAAAAATACACATAGTATTCAAAGTTATATGTAAGCACTACTATATTCCTAACCCGTCCGAAATGGACAGATCCAATAGTTACTTTCCAATTATTTCTACTTATAATATAAATTAAGCGATCCATTTCGGTATAAATTTAAATTTTATACCCAAAGTTGAATCGTCCATTTATATTATAGGTCTAAATAATTGGTAGTAATTATTGGACGGGGATCTACGGCTGACGTTAACTTATTATTCACCTAAATTTAATATATAACACATTATTGTGTTATATATCACGCTGTGCTTTTTTGATATTTTTTTGAACATTTGTGACTCCACATAAGCTACTCGGTCCATTTACACCATTATTTTATGCTTAATAACTTCAGAACAAAGAGGAGGCCCCTGGGTTTTAATACAAAAGAAATACAATTTTACCGCGACCAAACTTTAATTACACGGTTAAAATTATGGTTAAATATTACAACAAGGTGATCAAATCCATCATGCATATATCTGTAAACATAAAACAGTGTACTTCAAACTGTATTAAGGGATATTAGTCGCCAGTACTCAAATTCAAGCATCATTAATGTACTATCCCGAACTGAGGCTGTACATGAAATGTCGTGTTCTACAACTATCAATCACACAGTCATAACACAAAAATAAACTTTTACCAAAATAACTTCTTTGAAAACATTCATCATTTTAAAATAATTTCCTTCTACAACATAAATTCTAAAAAATATTATAATTAATCTAAAATAATTCTGTTACCCAAAATAAATTCTTTAATTATTATATTAGTTCTAGAAATACTATTTATCACATAATTACTATTCAGTCAATATTATTTATCAAACCCACGCAGATAAATATTAACAGATCTAAAATTGCAGATAATTCATAATAAATAGAAAAATAGTTCTGAGCAAGCGAGATATTGCCTCGGAATATTATCGAACGAAACGACGAGACTACGACGAATCTGAACAAGGACAGTGGGCTGGGGTTTGGGCGTTTTCGTCGGAGCTCGGCGGCTTAAGACAGCGACGACTCAGGTGGACTCGACGGCGGAGTGTGGCTGCTGGCGGAGGTTCTAGCGGCGACGGGATGTTGGGGAGGACAGCGTGGTGCTTGGGGAGGAGGTCGACAAGGATGCGAACGGTGTCTCGACGTCGGGCAGCAGAGGAGGGACGACGGGCTGCTGGAGGCGGAGCTCGGGGAGTCGAGGGTTTCTTCGGGCTGCAGGAGCGCGGCGGGACGTCTCAGGCGGCGGCCGCGGGGCTGACGGCGGCGAGGTTGGCGGTCAGGCGAGGCGGAGGACGGATCTCAGGTGGGTGAACGGGGGCTGGATCTGGTGGTGCTGGTCGGAGGTGAGAGCGACGGCGCAGTCGAGGTCGGAGAAGGGTGGCGGTGGCCTCGGCTGGGCGGCTGGACCTGAGGGGCGGCGGTTGGCGGCCTAGCGGGCGGTTGCTGAGGCGCGGGCAGGGCGGTGGTCGGGCTGGCATGGCGGCGTGGGGGCTTGGCAGGGAGGGCTCTGGCGGCGGGGTGTTGGGTGGTAGTGGTGGCGGCTCAGGTGGCCGTCGGCTTGGGGTGTCGGACCGAGAGAGAGAGAACGTGTGAGGGGTGGCGGTGGTTTTGTGAACAGGAAAAATAAATATATATATATATATATATATATATATATATATATATATATATATATATATATATATATATATATATATATATATATATATATATATATTATAATAGTATATATATATATGTATGTATATATATACAATTAGGGTTTAGGGTTAAATAAGTTAAACAAAATTAATTAAAAAGAAATAACTAATGATATTTAAAAATCAAAATAAATACGGGATAATTATCTACAAATAAAAATGTACCTGTTGTGCTATTACAACAATTGATACGAAATAGTCGAAATATACCCATATTATATAATTAAACAAGAATAATTAATAATAAAAATATTTCTACTTAAATTTAAAATTCAATAATTATGGGATAATTACGTACACAGTAAAACGTACTAGTTATACTAATACGACAGATAATATGTAACAATAGAAATAATACAACAAATTATACCAAAAACACGTACTTAATAATACCATGTATTATATGAAATAATTTGTAATAATATTAATAATACAATATATTATTTAAAATATTACGTAATAGTACCGATAACTCAACAAATTAATTCTAAAAATTTTTACCGCACAAAATAAATTTATAAATATAAAAATCATTTAAATAAATATATAATTAGATTTTTAAATCATAGAAAATTATAGGAAATTGAGAAAAATATAAATACTCTTTTAAAAATCATAATTAAATATTTTAAAATGCTAGAAAATTATTTTAATTAATATCAAAATTTCACGGTCATTACAAGTCTGATTGGCTATCTTTAATATTTCAAAATTACTCACTCAAATCATGGAAATTTCTATTACATCCCTCAAATCATCACAATATTTACTATTAGGTCCCCTGGTTAACACCGGTTATATTTAAAGAAATATTCTTTTAAATCTAACTATTATTACTAGTTTTCCTTGACTTTTAATTATAAAAAGTTAACCTGTTTGGACCTAGTTGATAAGTTCTGGTATGATAAGTTAACCCGTTTCAAAGTTAGTCCGGTTGGCTATCTTCAATATTTTAAAATTACTCACTCAAATCATGGAAATTTCTATTGCATCCCTCAAATCATCACAATATTTACTATTAAGTCCCCTGGTTAACACCGGTTATATTTAAAGAAATATTCTTTTAAATCTAACTATTATTACTAGTTTTCCTTGACTTTTAATTATAAAAAGTTAACCTGTTTGGACCTAGTTGATAAGTTCTGATATGATAAGTTTTGGTATGATAAGTTAACCCGTTTCAAAATTAGTCTGATTGGCTATCTTCAATATTTTAAAATTACTCATTCAAATCATGGAAATTTCTATTACATCCCTCAAATCATCACAATATTTACTATTAGGTCCCCTGGTTAACACCGGTTATATTTAAAGAAATATTCTTTTAAATCTAACTATTATTACTAGTTTTCCTTGACTTTTAATTATAAAAAGTTAACCCGTTTGGACCTAGTGGTGTATATGTAAAAATTTCACAAAAAAAGAAAGTAGTGGCGATCCAAGAGTTCGAACACAGGACCTGTTATATCATATTCGCTCGAACTCAATTTTGACAGCTCTTTCTCCTCTTAACCTTATAAAAAACTCCAAGAGAACTCTATCCAAACTATTTTCATCCGGGTGTTAGTGATTAAATCTAATTTATCTCCTCTCAGATTCATTAATGATGTTTACAGGCTCAAGTCCATCCGTAGATGAAGCCCAGAGTAGTGGAGTTCATCGAATCTACTAGCATAAAGAATAAAAATAAATAAATTTTAAAACTAACATAGAATTCCTAATTAATAGTTAATATTTTAACATAAGAATCTGATAATATATGTATCTTTCCATCGCAAATGTTTGTATTGGGCGATGGATTTCAAATTCAAATTCAGGAAGCATATATCACTTCTCCCTAAAAGAAGGGACATGCCTCTAGCGACAAAGTTGCGGCTACAGCCTCCTTGAGGACGACGCTAGAGGGGAGCAGGGGCCCTTGAGAAGGCCACCAAACAACTGTCCTGGATCATAATAGACTTCCACGTCATCAGCTCTCAAGCTATCATCTACATGTGTGGAACAAAATAGTATTGGACTACATTTAAAATATTCGATCCGTCGCCAATACTTATTGGCGACGAATTCGATCCGTCGCCAATATGTATTGGTGACGGAACATTGGTGACGAATCTATTCCGTCGCCAATACATATTGGCGACGCATCATTTCCGTCGTCAATACTTATTGGCGACGAATAGAATATGTCGCTAATAGGTATTGGCGACGGAACAAGTGCGACGGATCGAATCTGTCGCTAATAAGTATTGGCGACGGATCAAATTCGTCGCCAATGTGTATTGGCGACGGATCGAATCTGTCGCCAATAAGTATTGGCGACGAAACATTGGTGACGGATCAGATCCGTCGCCAATACTTATTGGCGACAGATTCGATCCGTCACCAATACTTATTGGCGACGAATTTGATCCGTCGCCAATATGTATTGACGACGGAACATTGGTGATGAATCTATTCCGTCGCCAATACGTATTGGCGACACATCATTTCCGTCGTCAATATTTATTGGCGACGAATAGAATCTGTCGCTAATAGGTATTGGCGACGGAACATTGGCGACGGATAGAATTCGTCGCCAATACTTATTGGCGACGGATCGAATTCGTCGCCAATGTGTATTGGCGACAGATCGAATCTGTCGCTAATAAGTATTGGCGACGAAACATTGGTGACGGATTACATCCGTCGCCAATACTTATTGGTGATAGATTCGATCCGTCGCCAATACTAATTGGCGACGAATTCGATCCGTCGCCAATAAGTATTGGCGACGGAACATTGGTGACGGATCAATTACGTCGTCAATACGTATTGGCGACGCATCATTTCCGTCGCCAATACTTATTGGCGACGGATAGAATCTGTCGCTAATAAGTATTGGCGACGGAACATTGGCGACGGATAGAATTCGTCGCCAATACTTATTGGCGACGGATCAAATCCGTCGCCAATACTTATTGGCGACGGATTGGATCCGTCGCCAATGTTTTCCCGTCGCCAATACTAATATTGAATAATATTAATTGAAATATAAAATTTCAAGAACCAAGTAATTAAAAATGAAAAAGTCATTATTTCATTAGTAAAAAAAGTTACATAGCTTCATTTCCATGTCTTTCCCACAAATGTTCAATCAATGCATTTCGAAGTGCAAAATGAGCTTCTTTGTTTTTCAACCTCTTATGTCGAGCAAGAAACCGTTGGAATCGTTCAGTTTCCGTTATCTCCATATTTTCAGCATTCGGAATTGATTGTGGAGTTGAAATGACAACATCTTCTTGCTCGTCGCGTTCATCTTCGACAATCATATTGTGCATTATAATACAAGCAGTCATGATATCATGCAGAGTTCGTTTATCCCAAAAACGGGCTGGCCCCTTGATGATAGCAAATCGTGATTGGAGAACACCGAATGCCCGCTCAACATCTTTTCGACATGCTTCTTGCATCATTGCAAAATATTGTTTCTTTTTATCATCGGAATTAGAAATGGTTTGAACAAGTGTTGGCCATTTCGGATATATGCCATCGGCCAAATAATAACCGACATCATAATTTTTTCCTTGAATTGTGTAATGAGCAGGAGGAGCAATACATTGTGATAGATTGTCGAACAAATTAGACGACTGCAATACATTAATATCGTTATTGGATCCTGGTAAGCCAAAGTATGCATGCCATATCCATAGATCATATGATGCTACTGCCTCAAGAATAATGGTTGGACCTCCATGACGACCTGAGTATTGTCCTGCCCATGCTGCATGCTGTTGGACAATTTTTCCATTGCTAATGCATACAGTCTAGACTTCCTAACATTCCTGGAAAACCTCTTTCTTCGCCCTTTTGCAATAACCTTGCAACATCGTCGACATTGGGAGTCCTCAGATATTCATCTCCATATACTTCTACAATTGCTCTGCAAAATCTCTTTAAACATACAATTGCAGTTGACTCACCGATCCTAACATATTCGTCAGTACTATCTGCTGATGTTCCATACGCCAACATGCGAAATGCCGATGTAACTTTTTGTAAAGTTGATAGCCCAAGTTTGCCGACACCATCCATCTTTTGTACGAAGAAGTTGTCATGCTCACGTACCGCCTCGACTATACGAAGGAATAAACTCCTGTGCATCCGGAACCTTCTACGGAATAGGTTTGCACCATATGTAGGGTTATCAGAAAAATAGTCATGGTAAAGTCGAGAATTACCTTCTTCCCTCCCGCGATTGATCACCAAATGACCAGGAACTGAGCCAATACGCTTTGGCCGCTCTGCCTCTTGAGAGAGATAAGTCATTATTTTATTATTAGAGGTATGTACGCGAACTAAGAGTTCATCTTCCTTCTCCCATTGTATCATATCTTCCTCCCAATCTTTAATGTACCGAGAAAATATTTCGTCGTCAGAAGAAGAAGAAGAAGAAGAAGAAGGTAGATGTGACGGTCCGGCTCCATAGTTCATTGATGAAGAAGTTTTTTAAAGAAATAATCATATAAGTTGTGAGTTATTTAGAGATGGATGTAATGTCATTATATAATATGACTCCCCGCATTGGATTCTTTTCAGCATTGGCTTCTCACCCCCCACATTAGATTCCTTTCGTGTTGAAGACTCCCCACATTAGATTCTTTTCAGCATTGGCTTCTCACCCCCACATTGGATTCCTTTTGTGTTGGAGACTCCCCACATTGGATTCTTTTCAGCATTGGCTTCTCACCCCCACATTGGATTCCTTTCGTGTTGGAGACTCCCTACATTGGATTCTTTTCAACATTGGCTTCTCACCCCCACATTGGATTCCTTTCGTGTTGGAGACTCCCCACATTGGATTCTTTTCAGCATTGGTTTCTCACCCCCACATTGGATTCCTTTTGTGTTGGAGACTCCCCACATTGGAGTCTCCTGGTGTTGGAGACTCTCCACATCTGATCCCTATATAATACTTGCACAATTTTCATATCTCCACCACAACTCTTCTTATTCTATATTCATAACTCTTTACATTCCTCCTTAGATTATGGCATCTAGTCGCGGAAAATCTTTTTTACAAGAAGAAGACCAAGTTTTATGCGCTACGTGGCTCGAAATTTCTCAAGATCCAGTCATGGGTTCTAATCAAAAGAAGGACAAGCTGTGGGAACGAATTTCTGCTTTATTTCATGAAAGGATTTCCAATATTTGTAATGCTCAAAGGACTCCAAAGTCTCTTTCATGCCGAATGCAATTAATTATGAAGGCCATCAGTAAATTTCGAGGATGTATTCGACAAGTCGAGCGCTTAAATCCAAGCGGTGCTTCTGAGCTTGACATTGTAAGTATTTTGAATAACATAAATCTTGATTATCATCTACTATCATGTTATTAATAAATGTTTCTTCCTCTCTTGTGGTAGATTAAACGTGCTAGGATAATATTTGCAGAAGATCCAGAAGAGAGAAAGGGGTTTCTATTTGATCATGTTTGGTCAATTTTAAAAGATGCAGAGAAATGGGCAAATATAAGTGTCAGATCGCCTGCAAGTTCCAAAACTTCAAAGTCCCGCTCATCTCAGGGATCAGATTCAAGTTCTCCCGTCGTCGACTTAAATGACGATAATGAGGAATATACTCATAATGACGAAGATATGATAACAAGTCGACCGACAGGAAGGAAGAAAGAGAAGATGAGGAGGCGACAAGCAACTGAATCCAACCTCGACTTGGAAACTCTCAATAAAAGCAATCAAGAAATTGTCGATATTTTAAAAAAAAGTCATGGAGAACGAGAAAATGATAAAATAACAATGCACCAGATTATGATGTTAAGGGCCGAAAACGAAAAAAAAAAATTAGATATTCAAAGGGAACGCCAGGAAAATAAGATTATGTTGATTAATCTTGATACTATTACTGATCCTTCGGAACGCGAGTATTTTCGAATTAAAAAATAAGAGATTTTAAATAGAAACACAACCGGAGGTTCTTCATCTGATATTCCTAATCCTGAATATAGTTATGCAGGAAGTCAATACGGAATACTTGACTACAGAAGCGGTGGATATGGAGGAAATGGCCTGCTCGATTTTTAGTTTTTTCATGTACTTTATTTTCATGTACTTTATTTTTCTATGTAATGCCGCTAAATGTAATATATAAAATTTCATCATTCGGAGTAGCTGTGAAGGTTGTTCCAAATATTATGCTATATTTTCTGCTTTTTAAAATTTAAGGGCTCTTATCTATGTCTTATTATCAATTTATTAAAGATAATTAATTTTATTTAAATAATGAGTATATTATATATTATACTTTTAGTATTAATTTATAATATATTTTATATTTTAAATTAATTCATATAATTTTTTAACATTTTATATTTTTTATATTTTCAAATCTATTTAAAGTATTATAAAAAAATCAATTAAAATTGCAAATAGAGTTTCATATAGAGGGGTGGTGGGAGTGCACCCCCTCTAAAAAAGCATATGCTCAAGAATATCCTTTGGGGAGGCTGCATTTTGCAGCCTCCCCATTGGAGTTGCTCTTATAGCCAACAAAAAAAATAGTGTTAACGGCTCATGGACCCCTAGTGCTAGTCGTACCCAAGTAGTTTCATTGTTGTAGATAGACTCTTTTGGTTAATAATCTGACTATTTTACCCTCAGAGAGACTCATTTATTTCATCTTAGGGGATATCTACCAAAATTTCACCAAAGGCAAAAGTGTCAAAATATTTAACCCCGGGTCATCTGCAACCGTGAAACTAAAGGGCTGCGAGTTCAGAAGAGACGATACTAAAGGGGGCCTATGTGCAATTAAGGGAATTATCCCCA